TAAAAGTATTTAATTTTTAAAAAAGAAGAAGAAAGAAAATCTGGTGTTACCTTCTCAAAATCTCTCCATAGCACTCCGACTTCAAAGAGCCTGTATCAGAACTATCTTCAAATATTTGGAATTTGTTACATGACAATGATAGTAGGTTCACACTGCCCTGACCCATAAGGAAATTCTTAACAAGCTTTGGGTCAAAATGCTTTCATCAGGGATGAGGACTCAAGGACTCACAAGATCTGCAATGCAAATGCTCCATGGTGGGGGAGGAGCACTCAAGAACACGTTCCCCCTGCCCCTCTCTGAACATGGAAAATCGCCCCTCCTTTTTACCTATTACAGGATCCTCCACATCAGTAACACGTGTCCCTATCCTTTTAGCTCATCCATTTCTCCCCTTCTTTTCCGACAGCCCTTGTCCTAGCAGGTCTTGGGCATGGTGAAGCAGCGAAGCAAGCAGAAAATCCTGAACTGTTTCTCTCCCGTTTCAGAAGGAGAGGGAGGGGGTGGGTGGGTAGGGATAGGAGTTATAACCTGCCCCATCCCTCTTTGTCAATCTCCACCTGTAAACACTAGTTGGTGGAAGTCAAGGGCAATGTCCTGATTTCCCTTGCTGTGTCCTTGGTGCTGAGAACAATGGCTAGTTCCTGGCAGCAGATACTTGTTAAGTATTTAACAATGAGTGAATGAATGAATGAAAAGGCCTGCTCGCAACACATCTCCATTCTTTATAAGAAGTTTATTCAACCAAGAACTTGAGAGTGGTTATGCCTGAGTGTATTTCCTCTTTGGATCTAAAAATTCTCTTTAAGAACAAAAAATTATGGTTGAGACGTTCTTGTCCTTTGACATACTATTGCAGTGCCTCCAAAAATGAGTGAGATCACAAGGATACACATGTAACGTCCTTGCTGGGGGACGGACAACAGACAAGGGGGTGAAGGGAGATGGCGGACAGTTAAGACCTAACAAATTAATAATCATTTATAAAGTATCAAGGGTTCATGAGGGAAGGGGGGCAGAGAGGAAGGGGGTGTAAAAAGGAACTGATACCAAGGGCTCAGGTAGAAAGCAAATGTTTTGAGAATGAAGATGGCAACAAATGTACAAATGTGCTTGACACAATGGATGGATGGATGGATTGTGATGAGTTATATGAGCCCCCAATAAAATGATTTTTTTTTTTTCAGTAATGAGTGAATCATAGACAAAAGACAGATGACCAAATGGTGTTAGGTAGCCAAAGCAGGGACCTGGGGTGTCTCCTGGGCATGCTCCAAATTCAGGCTCTGAGCCAGGAAGGGGCGGTGCACCTAGGTGGGCTGGATTGGCCCAATCTAGGCCTGGTGGACTTAATGCAGCCAATGGGGTCAACCAGTAATGTCGACCACGCCTCCCAGTGGAAGCCCCAAAAGGCTGGAAGCGGGAGGCCTCCCTCTCTTTCACGCTACTCCTCTGTCTTCCTGGCCATGGTCTCTCATTTTCTCTGGCCTCAGGGGCGCCACCTGTGAGTGTGCAGTGCCCCCAGGGTGCCCGTGCCCATGACTGTAAACCCTGAAACTTCTGTCCTCTATAAAAACTCACTGGGGTCACAAAACAGGCTTCGGCATGAATTTCTTTCTCGTGCGAAGGCAAGAATAGAGGTATTTCCTACCTGAGGAATCTAACAATTTGACCAGAATTCAAAGAAGATATGAAAAGACCTATGGTACAGTACATGCTCAAAAGATAGTCCTCACATACGACCTTTAAAACAAACAAACAAACAAACATGGTGCATACCAGTGGGCTTAAAAAAGTTTGTGGTACAATTCTGTTATCTTTTCATTCCATTTTCCCATGAGCTTTCTGAAGGCCCCTGAGTGTCAGGGTTTTTGTTTTGTTTTTGAGTCTTGTATGTGTGCAATAAAACATACATGACCACCCTCTTTTAAATGTACAGTTCAATGACCTTCCTTATGTTCCCTCCCAGGGGCAGCATCAGGAGTACCTATTTCTAAATTTTCCCATCACCTTGAACAGAAACTCAATGTCCTTAAGCAATGACTCCTCTTCCTGACTCTCCCACACAAGCTCTGACTCATGCACATTTGCCTAATCTAGACCTTTCATTTAAGAGTTGCTGTTACATGTTGTGAAGCACCACTGACGGGGTTCCCACTCAGAGCGACTCTTTTTACACACAGATTGAGACGCCCTCCAGTCTGCACCAGCCTGACAATCAGTGCTACATTTAAGCCCATGATTACAGCCCGCGTGTCACTCCATCTGATCGAAAGCGGTCCTCTTATTCACTGGCCTTCCACGGGGAGGTTAAGTAAAGACCTGGAAGGAAGGGGGCACAACTGAAATTCAAGTTCAGGAAGTCTAGGCATCTGTGCTTGTAACTACTGGGGTATAACCCAAGCCAAACTTACTGCCATCGAGTCGACGGTGGCTCAGAGGGACCCTCTGGCACAGGGTAGAACTGCCCTTCTGGGTTTCTGAGACTGTAACTGTTTACAGGAGTAGAGAACCCCATCTTTCTCCCAAAGAGCAGCTAGTAGTGTCACACTGCTGACCTTGCAGATGTCGGCCAAATACATAACCATTACACCATCAGGGCTGTCACTATGTCATTGTGACCCTTTAAGACAAAACGGGAGTCCTGGTGGTGCAGTGGTTAAGTGTTGGACTGCTAACCATAAGGTCAGCAGTTCAAAACCACTAGCAGCTCCTTGGGAGAAAGGTGAGGCTTTCCACTCTCATAAAAAACTACAGTCTCGAAGCCCACAGGGACGGTTCTACTGTGTCCTGTAGGGTGGCTGTGCGTCGGAATCGACTTGGTGGCAGCGAGAAGACAAGATAGAGTCAAAGAGGAGAGAGAGAGAGAGAGAGAGAGAGAGAGAGAGAGAGAGAGATCGTGCAGTATTTGTCCTTTTCACATCGATCCTTTTCAGCAATCATCTGGTTGAACAAGAGCTGAACTCTTGGTCCCTATTATTCCTGAGACCCGGGCACTAAAGGGGGGAATGGACAGGGAAGGTGAATCATGAGTGGGGCCACCCTGGTGTGGGGCAGCCTGAGGAGCAGCATCGAGCAGCCCCTTTGGAAGGCAGAGGGTAGCCCTCTAAAGGGTGTGAGGTGCACCGGGCAGGGTAGTCAGGGAGCTAACACAGGGAGGAAAAGGAGGAACCAGCACAGACTCCACATCTGCCGTGAACCACTGCCAGGGGTCCTGACAGCACAGCTGCTAAGCACATGACTCAAATTCATTTGTCCGCCAAGGGCTGGCTCCTGGCAGCCTCACTGTCCCCTGGGGGCACCTTACACAATTTCCTGCCCTGCCCACCAGATCTGCCTACCCCCTGTTCTACCTTTCATCACGGATGGGTCCCTGCGGTAACAAAAACAAGCTGCCACACTTGGGTGATTTACAGGATGTGCTTTTTCGAAAATATATGTTGATGCTTTTTAAAATTCCCCTAACGTAATACAATCATGTAGTGTCAAATACTTTGAGGACTGTGGTTTCCGAGTCTATAATTTCCTGTTCATCTGGAGCGGTCATCAAAGGAGAAGCCGGGTGGTCCAGCCACTCACCCTGGCCACCATGCAGTCTGAGCATTGCACGCTCGCCTTCCTCCTCAGCTTCCTCCTGGCTTGGCCAGCAGGTAAGTGGTTGCTTTCTTTTGAACTGCTCCCAGCTTTGTCATTCGAGTTGGACCAAGGAACGCTGGCAAGGGCACCTGGGCTCTTTTGTGGGCTTTGTAAGCACTTTAGTTATCCTTTGTTACTATCTGCAATCTGGTTAATAACGTGTGTAGTTAATGGACACCTGCTGAAACGTTTTCTGTAGGATGAACGAAACTTCCCACAGATGAACTGACATCTGCCTCTCTGTCCCCCATAAGAATGTATGTGGTCTGAGGGGGTCATTAGACCACAGTGGTTACAAGCACAGACCCCTGACCCAGACGGCCTGAACCTGGATTTCAATTCTGCTGCCGGGCTATCTGGGTGACTTTGAGAATGTACTTACCTTCCTGTGCCTCTGTTTTCTCACCTGTGGAGAGGTCACTGGGAAGCGTAAGTGAGCTAAAGTCTGCCAAGTGCTTGGAGCCAGGCCAGCCACAGAATAGGGAGCCTCCTGTGAGTGGCACATTCACAGAGAATTCCTCAAGAGCATACAAATCTTAGCATCATTGCATCCATCTGATCAAGGCCCTTAGGGCCCCGTTTACAGATGGGTACCTGCCGATATAAGAGACTCAAGTTACTTTCCCAAGACTCTATACCCGTGTTCAGACACTGATACGTGAAAACAATCCAAGCTTCCTTGGCAGAAACTTAAGTGCAGTCCAAATGAGCCTGGCTCTACATTGTACCCTCCTGTCACCATGGGCAACATATGCCCCCACTCGCCCATCTATCGAGTGTAATAACGAAATACCCACTTTGTATTTTTTGTTGTGAGAATGAAGTAAGTTGGAAAGCTTCAACCAGCATGCCTGAGACATGGGGGGCGTTCACTGAATGCCCATGAGGAGGAAAAAGAGAGGAGGAGGAGAAAGAGTGCACTCCGCCTCAAGCTGCTCCTTTCTCCACGAGCTCCTCTCTGGTGATGAAGCCATGCCGGCACACATGGGCTGCCACCGAGAAGTGCTTCACAGCACATCATGCTCCAAGTGGTCATTTTGTACTTCCCTAAAATAATGGAATACTAGGATGCAATATTTCTATAATAAGAAATAGTATCAAAAGAAAAACTATAATAAGATGAAGTGATGGTTGATTTGAGGAACTGGTTGCCCAGGAGAAAGGCTCTGCTCTTGGTTTTCTGTGGGAAGAAAGAGGCAGGCTGGGCATCAGCTTCACTGTTGACTGCTGGGCAAGTTCCCAAACGGCTCCACGCCTTCGTTTTCTAGTCTGTGAGTGGGCGAGAGCAATTGAACGCACCCTGACCCACGGGGGTCAGAGGAGAACTGTGCTCCACAGGCTTCTCAGTGGCCAAGTTACTTTCTTCGGAGATGCCTCTGGGTCGACTCCAGCCTCCCACCTTTTGGTTAGCAACTGAGCACCTTGGTTTGCATTACCCAAGGAGAGAACACGGCAGGAAGGAGAACGAGGCAAGGCAAGCACCCCAAGATGAGATTCTACCTGGTATGGGGAAGCCAAAGCTAAGCTGCCAGTGTGGAGAAGCACCGCGGAGAGTAATGAAAGATGGGGTCAGGGAGGACAAAAAAGCAGAATCCAAGATGGAGCGAAAACTTGAGAAAGGGGATGTTGGGTGCCAGGCCAAGGTCCGGCAGCAAAATTGATCCCGGGTAAAATGCTGCCCATGATAATAGTAGTCAAGTGGGCCTTGGGAAGGTGAGGGAGGGATCTTGTTGTCGGTCTTTTATCTCAGTCATTCTATTCCATCACCATCCTGGAAGAGACAAAGGGCACCTTTCGTTTCATTTCGTTTTGTTTTTTCACAACTATTTACTGCCTCTCTAGCTTAGAAAATGAATGGGGGATCCCAATGGAGTTTTCATAGTTTGGAAAACAATCGTTCTGACATTTCAAAAGATTGGTGTGCTCCGTCTCCCTGACGTGCACTACAAGCACTGATGGGAACTCTGAGGCAGGCTTGCCATTGAGCCCTACTGCTGACAGCACCAGGGTACAGATCAATCACCGATGCTTCTTCTTATTTTAGAAACGCAGCCAGCACAGGACTCCCTGAAGCCCCAGAGGGTACGATTTCAATCCCGGAATTTTCACAACATTCTACACTGGCAGCGTGGCCAGGTGCTGAGGGCCAACCACAGCCTCTATTTTGTGCAGTACAAAGTGTAAGTGCATCGGGCTTCTTCTGCCTCAGAGATGGTCCCTGTGTTCCAGAATGCAATGGGATGTGAGGATCGGGCCTTTACTCCATTTCAGGGGGTTGAAAAGAATGAAGGTCGGGATAACGGTGACCTGTTCCCCCCTCCCCCCACCACAGACCTCACAGACTCAGTCTATGGCTTCCCAAAGGTGTTTGGCATATGCCAGGCTCTCAAACATATAGGTCGAATGAACGCTGGTTGTTTAGCATGCAGCAGGTTCACAATGAACTTGAAGTGACTGACCACTGAAAGAAAGGTGGTGGAAAACATAAAGTGTGCACAATTAGTGGTTTGCTTCCTAAAGTTGTTTGAGGACATTTTCAAAATGTCATGACTCCTTTAAGCACGGTCACAAATTATAGCATGCTCTTGCCTGCTCCTCTCGTATGATCTTCAGGCTAATCCAACTGGTTTGTTACCAAACCTCAGATATATCAGCAAACTCTTCTTCTGGATCAAAGATTAAAAACAGAAAATTCCTGATGTGTAAACAGTACTTTTTCTATCTCACCCATTTGTTCCCCACCCTCATCCCTACCCCCAGACCCCCACCCTGCCCTTTTCTTTTTTCTTTCTTATTTTATCTGTTTGGTTTGCTGTTTGGTTGTTTTATTCTCTCTTCCTATTTATGATTTTTTTGAGGCTCTTTGGCCTCTGACATAGTTTGACATCCTGCCAAGCATCAGACAGAAGTTACAGTTCAACTTTCATGACTTTTCATTGGTAATTAAGAAAATAAGCTGCAGATACAGACCAAACTAACAGTTATTTGTTCAATGATCTGGAGGCAATAAGATCTTTCATTTGATTTTTGAAGCCTTTCATGGGATTCTATCCAGTTTATGTGGGTCGATCCATTCATATCAATAACTGTCCCATATATGTTAAAACAGGAAATGATTTATCACATTATAAAAGAAGTCAAGCATTACAACAACATTCAAATAGCAACAAACAGCTCATTAATAAACACCAGTGCATCAATCACCAAACTCTACTCAATCTAGGTTGTTGGTTTTGCTTCAATGTTATCATCTGATATAATGAAATTTGTGTCATTATATGGTCTGTTGAGTGTAGACACCAGCAATATTTCTCATTATAGTGTTAGGAAGTTAGAGATCAAGTCCTTCAACAAATATTTTGGGAAGCGTTCTCATCAGCCTCCAGTGTCCATTCTCTGCCTCCACCACTGTCTTGGGACAGGTGCTCTGATCTGCAGCCAGTCGGGCAGTGAGCTCTGGTCACCCCTTTTGTTGTCACCTTATCCCACAGTCATAGGCTGAAGTCAAGCCACCTACCTCTTTGCTTTGCTGACCTTCTATGGGCTTCCCTCCCTCTCTGCTTGCCCCAAGTTACAGAGAATTCCCTATAAACTACCCGCTGCCCGGCCCCTGCTCTGTTTTCAGTAAAGAGATCAGCTGTGTGGTGTGAGTAAGCGTCACTCGAGGGGCAAAAGTGACAGCAAGTTCTCAGAACCGGCCACGTTGCTCAAAGCAAGCTAGCGAGAAAGAAGGTCAGGAAGGGTTGAAACCTCAGAAGGAGTGAGGATGTGGAGAGCTAACGCTCACAAAACGGAAATTGGGCGGTATGCCAGAAGAGACACTCTTCATGAAATGTGACGGACCCTATGTTAGTGATACAGAATGCGCAGGTTTGAGCGCATCTGTCACTCTGCGTGGTTAACAGGCAGGTATTTTTAAAAAGATATTTAAGAGTAGTCATGAAAAGAGAAGGAAGAAAGAAAAAAAAAGAAAAGAGAAGGAAGAATGGTCACAAGCTATTGATTTTAGAGGACAGGCTTCAAGCCACCTAAACCATGAGGCTAAGGAAGAAGACCCGCTGGCAGGGCTCCACTTCACACGTGCACAGGCATATTCCCAACAAAATGCGTTCAGTCATGTCTCTGGGACCAGTGGATGGCAGCAGACAAGTTCCGTCAGTAAGACATTTGTCAAAGACTCATTAACTCACCGTCATTGAGTCAATGCTGACTCACAGTGACCCCATAGGACAGGGTAGAACTGCCCCTGTGAGTTTCAGACTTGAACTGTTTGCGGGAGTAGAAAGCCACGGCTTTCTCCCAGAGAGTGGCTGGTGGTTTTGAACTGCAGACCTTGAGGATCACAACCCAATACGTAATCACTATATCACTGGGGCTCCTTCATCTTCTTAAAACGCCTTCAGAAAAATAAATAAATAAATAAATAGACAAAAGGTCCAATCACAACAGTGACTTCCATGGGGATCTGTTGGACCAGTTCCATTCAAGGCAAAGAGATTCGTTTAGAACGTTACGTATAGTACGTGGGAGCTCTGTTTGTTTTCTATTCCAAAAGACATGGACCAATCATGGGGACTTATTATGAAGAAGTTTTACCAAAACAGAAACCTGCACGGGTGAGGAAAAGGCCACGAAAGGTATGTGGAGGAATTTGTTTCCCTCATGCCGAAGCTTGTGCTCATTCTTCAAGGACAGCATAGGGCTGGTTTATGAAAATTTACTCTAGAAATCTTACCCCATCCACCCTACAGCCCTGATCTTGCCCCATCAGGTTGTTTTTGTTGTGGTAGTAAAAAATGAAAGACTATTTCAAAGGAATACAATCTGAGTATCTCAGAGATACCCAAACTGCCATTTTGACACTTGGGTCAAAGAGTGTAGAATTCTCCATGGAATGGCTAGGGAGCGGGAACATCACCTTCAGAACTATATAAGCCTAGATGGAATTGTTATTGAGAAATAACAGTCTTACGTTTAGATATTTTTATTTAATAAAGGTTTTCATGATTTTTAAAAATCATTTTATTGGGGACTCATACAACTCGTATACCATCTATCCATACATTCATGGTGTCAAGCACATTTGTACATATGTTGCCATCATCATTTTCAAACATTTTTTTAATTGTTTTATTAGGGGCTCATGTAACTCATCACAATCCATACATACATCAATTGTGTAAAGCACATTTGTACATTCATTGCCCTCATCATTCTGGCATCAGCTCATTTTTCCCCTCCCTCCCTGCTCCACCCTCCTTCATAAGCCCTTGATAATTTATAAATTATTATTTTGTCATATTTTGCCCTGTCCAACGTCTGCCCTCACCCACTCTTCTGTTGTCCACCCCCCAGGGAGGGGGTCACATGTAGATCCTTGTAATCGGTTCCCCCTTTCCAATCCACCCTCCCAGTATAGCCACTCACACCACTG